CTGGCATTATACAGGGTACAGGGGGTGCACTCACTCGAACCTTCTCCCACCTTCTCCCCCTCTCGTTCCGCGGGACGCGCCGGTTTGCGACCGCCGCGAACACTAACGAGACTAACGAGCTCTTGTCTCTGACCATTCATCGATACGGCGATACTCACCGTTCTGGCCAAAGGAACCCTCGTTAACCCTGAAAACTACCCCCTCCTACCCCTTCAACTTTGTCTCGACGTCTCCGCTGGAGTATATACCGACGCGTCGTATATTAGTTTAACCCTTTCAGCCACCGGAGTACTTTGGTCTTTGAAATGGAGAGTACGTCATATTAGTTTTAGCTGTCTCGTCGATTGATGCTGCCCGTCAGTGATGATGCACGAACTTGGAATAAATACATAAATAAATTGATAATATGATGAGTTGGATAATTTGCATTAATTGTTTTACTGCAAAAATGAAGTAAATAATTTATCCAATGTGACAGAATAGAAAAATATTATAACTTTAATGAAACCAGATAGAAATATAATGAACATAATAGATATTTATATTTATAAAAGATCATATTTTATTAATACATGGAAACACTTTTGCTGACAAATCTAAAAATTTGGCCAGATCGGAAAATAATTTTGTTGGACTTTCGAAATTATTATGTTACATTCGAATTGATTATTACAAGATCAAAAATTTTGGCAATATTATTATTATGTTTAAGCATCCAACAAAATTATTTCCAGATCTGTATCTAGCAAATTTTTAAATTTGTCAGAAAAATTGTTCTCTCCATGAATACAAGAAAGTACAGAAAACTGATCATATCGATTTTCAAAATTAATATTATTAATAAATTAATATTCTTAAACATATTCTTAAAAAATTTTAATCGAGAATTAATTTCCTTCGCTTTTACATGTTCGACGATCACGTTCATAAATCATCAATCTCAGCAGAGATTGATAAAAATCATGCTCATCAAATCTGGAGAAATTAAGAGGATAATTAGCACCTCGACCGAACTGTCGATTCCGCGAGAAAAAGAGAGAAAGAGACAAAGAGAGAAAGTGAAAGATTAAGAGGGAGAGAGCTGGATCTACTTCGTAATTATCGAACTGTGCAAACTTCATGAATACATGCAAGTGGTTCAAAGCGAGACCGCTTTGTTCGCATAAAGTCGATATGACGGCACGGGGGACGAAGGGGAAAGAGGCGAGTGGTGAAATAAGGGGACGCGGTCCCCGGTCTCTCTAACGAGGATTCTCTCTCCGGGCTCCGGGGGTTGGTTGTCCTTCTGGATGTCCTTAAATTCCGCCGAAACATTATGGAAATGAAATCCCGGGACTCTCGACGATGACGACGACGATGAGGACGAGGATGAGGATGAGGATGAGAACGGCAAATCTAACTACGTTATAACTTGCGCGTTAGCATACGCAATCGGATCATCGCGACCGGCAAGGCGAGCGAGCGACGTCTTAACGAGCGTCGCGATGCCAGATGCGATTAAGAGATCCGACGAGCGCTCGCTCGCGACGGTTCGCAGCAAATCGAGGAAAAGCGAAAGATATCCCGCGTCGCTCGATAATTGTCCTGGAAACGCTTTTACTCGACTTAAGAAATGTCCTTTGAGCAAGAAAACTTGATAAATTTGAAATTTCGATGTTCGTTAGCCAATTGCTTCTTACTCGATAGTTTGTTCTAAATCAGAGATGATCATGGCTCTTTTGCCTGACATCCACTATGAATATTTAAAATCTTTGATGTGCCACTTTGCTAGAGAATTTGGCAAAAAAAGGAAAAAGATTTTTTTTATTTAGTATTTAGTTATTTCTAGAAACATGATTTTTTTTTTTTAATTCGAGATGAACACAAGGACAGAATTCTTTTGACTCCTCTCTTTGCTTTATCTTCGCTGGAGTTAAGAGCACGTAGGCTCTTCTCGGGAACTAAAGAAGTCTTCGCTTTCAGGATACCTACCCTTTTCATGCTCACCGGCTTTTAATCGCGTGGTTCTCCGAACGAGGCTCGATTCTTCCTCGATTCATCCGTTCTCCAGTCACGACGGTGTCGTCGCGGGAAATTCACCGCGTTCGATTCGAGAACGCGTCGTCGGCGTCTTCCGGTTTCCGCTCACGTAGCGGAAATCCCCGCGGAACCACCCGCGAGTAGTCGGGGGAGGCGGGAGGGAGGGGGAGGAAGAACGCGAGACGATTCAATCGCGTCGACGACGATGACGCGAGGGCGGCCGAACGAAATATTTATTTCGCGGAAAGCCCCTTCCGACTCGAAGATTGATAAGCGCTCGCGGTTTTGAATCGAAGCAGCCTGGCTCCGCCAGGGTAAATACATATTTGCGACGAAGCTCGCGAATAAGCCGGCTGCAGCTTCGTACATAGCGTGCAACCCTTGCACATAGCGCGTATATAGGGAGGCATACGTGAGATGGTTTCCCGTCGAGGGAGGAATCGTATCTGTCCCGCGGATAACGGGGATGAATAAAAAATACGTAAGGAATAACGAAGTCGATTTGTAGATTTTAGAAGATGGAAGACGCAATAACTCATCGTTAAAAATACGAGTACGGACGATAGCGATATGACGAGAGAGGGAAGAGAGTAAGAGCGAGTATTTTCGTATCGCGTTTCCTTCGCGGATGATTGGGACAAATATAGGATATGACAAAAGCAGGAAGACACTTGTAAATTTTATAGCGGGATAACGGTAAAAGTGGATGGTGGAATTGATCAGAAGGGAAGTAGAAAGAGATAAAGAAGAGAGAAAGAGACAGCGGCGAGGAAAGACTAATGGGCGACGTGGAAGCGATACTAAAATATTAACATTTATTGAAGTGAGCGATATTGCACTCCGATGAAAGCACGGAAGCGCGGTTTGTGTTGAATTGTTCGCAAGTCGTTTTAAATCGAAGGGCAAAAGCAAAGTTTGTGACTAAATTACATTACGTGTGTCGGTGCGCATTTAATGCGCCTCACAAAATCTGTCAACCACATGGATCTTAATTAACGCAAGTCTGAACGTATAATAGGGTTGTTACATCCGACGGGGCCGTGCATGATAATTCAAAGTTTGCGGTCTGTTAAAATAAAAACGCGTTCAACCCCCGTTTCGCTACGCCCCCGAGAAGTCTCGGGACGACGACAGAAAGCCCTGATTAAAACTCGGTAGGCTCGGCTCGTAATATCTTTTCGATGCTCCTTGAAAGTTGAAGCGACATCCGCCCATCCGCTTATTTCCATGAAGAGATTGCTTCACCGCGAGTTTCCAAAATTTTCGCCCGAGACTACGGCTTTCGATTACGTTTATGCAAATTTTGTATCTCCTCTTCGATAAATCGACGAACAAAAGCGGCAGCTTGTTCAGCATAATTGATTATTATAAATATAGAAGACCTGGAGAGTGACTATGGAAACTTGAAAGTAACGCCTAACATTTTGTATGGACGGTAATATTTAATCTCACTTTTAAAACAGAAGAAATTTTAATTGGAACCTTTTAACCGCGTTATTGCGCCTTTTCAAAATTGTAATAACGAAATAAATTTTGTAACAGTTATTTTTAACGCGACCTCGGAAACGTATTAAATTAATGCAGCCTCCTCGAACACGTGGCGCATTAATTATCCAGTCCGTTAAATTGCTCGGACCCCCGACGGTCGGTTCCTAATTAAGTTTAGTCCACTGATTTACCCTCCCTTAGTCGCAATGAGAAACGGCCGAAAAGTCAAATGTTTCCGTCATTCAAATCCGAAGCACTCGACGAATGCGAATAAGATTTATCCCGGCGAAATCTCCAAGATTTACAGGCCTAAAAATTGATTCAACTTTGGATTTTACCTAAATAACGAGTTTTTTTTTAAACGGAAGACTTTAAATTCGAATTTTGGAGAGGACACGTACGGTGGATTTCGCGTGTCTCCTGTCGACAGCTTTGGCAGGAGACATTTTTTTCTCGCGATCGCATAAATCCACGCTTCGCGATGGGGCGATTTATACGGAGGACGCGCGTATATATCTTTCGTTACAGATTTATTGTCTCGCGAAATCGGCCACGGCAAGGCGGGTTGATAGCCTTGTCGCTTGTACGCTTTAGGGTCGTGAAAAGTGGCGTAAAAGCAACGACCGGTCACTTAATATGTTAATGCAAGCTCTCGTACGTGGCTACGATGTCACCATTGGCGTTCCACGGACGGCGGAGAAACGAGCTGTAAAAGTGATGAGAAGCAAGACGTGTGTAAATAGCCGGTGTAACGCGAGGCTGTGATAATCATCTGACGTGACGTGATCTACGAGGTAATCCAAGAGAACCAGACGATACCCGACACCGGTGATCGCGATCGTCCACCGTGTAATGATTAAATCGTATCGGCGGGCCAATTATACCAGCCTCAATTATATCGCGTTCCGCGCGATATTTCGAACGGAGCTTAATTGAGATAGCGAGTCATTAATTACCTTACTAAATAAATAGCGACCATATGTACATACACAGAATGGCTAAGTGTATCGACATTTTCGATCATCGAAATTTTATGCTTGATAATTTTTTTGAATTTTATAATTCCTTCTTTTGTGGTTTTCTTGAATCACACGGAAAAAAAAAATTAATCCTAAACTATATATTCTCGTATAGAAGATTTTTGGTTTTCTTTAATTGAACAAAAGTAATACTTGCATTATCGATACCGATAAATTCAGTCAGATCAAGACTTTTTAGGATTATAATATTCTTGCTTATATATGAAAATATTCGTTTTGCTGTAAGATTAATTTTTTTTTTCTATACCGGTATTTAATCTTGATAAATTGAAGTTTTTATGTCCAAGTTTAAGAAATGCAATTTGAACACTCTCAGAATATTTTCGAAAGCATCGCAATTTTTCCTCGCGGGTAAAATCTCTCGGCGCTGCTCTTGGCGTCGCTTCTTCGTTACGAGTATTCGGCGTGAGATTGGACGGCCGTTCGCGAAATAAGTTTCTCTTCTCGTTGCAGAGGTCCAGTTTCACCGTGAAATGGAGCGCCCGAGCAGTGGACGTGAGCGCAAATAACGCGATCGCAGCCGTCTCCGGCGGACGATAATCGTGAGGAAGGGTTCCTCTATCCACTTGGGCATTTTCGACGAGGCGCCGCTCCGTTAGCCGATACTCGTGTGCAACATGTTCGGGACGAAATTGCGCACGTGGATGGAGGCACACATCGTGCGATCGAAAAAGAAGAAGGACCGGAAGAAGGGCGACAAGGGATTCGACTCGAACTGCAACTCCCCCAGGAGCCACAGCGCCAACAGATCGCCCGCCCTGCATCAGGTAAGTCGAGTTCATTTCTCCGCGGCTTTACAAGATGACGTCCCAAATCTCGGACGTTACACCTCCTGTATTATTAAGTAAGTTAATTTCAATTTCCAGCGGCGATTGATTTTTTTGTTTATATAAAATTTACTATCACTAATTCTGAGCTTTTTTAACACGAAAGAAATATACACCATTTTTTTTTTTCTTCGAAAAAAAGAACGTCTAGAAAAAAAATCCGGAAATTTATGTAATATTCGTAACACTCGGTGCAAATCGAAGTTAAATTAACTTCCCACTTTCGCAGTTTCGTAAAGTTTAGAATTTTTTTTATCGTTTCGACTTCATATCCAGTTCATCATTAATTGCTTTCACTCGCGATCGCTCGGCCTCTGAAGTATCTCGAAGAGATGCGCACGCTCGTCGGATTCATCGTCATTATCGGCAAACTAGTTTGCGAAGTGCTTCTCCTATTTTCCTACTGCTCGCCAGCGTTTGCTCGTTACGCCCGTCCGTTTCTCCGCTAACAGACCCTTAGGTCGGCGTTTTCCGTGGAAGGAGTTGCTGCCAGGGCACGTCGACGCTTATCGTTACGGCGGTAAAAAAAGGATTCAGTATTCTTTTCCCGACACACCCCGACAGCCGACTCGCCCTCGTTCTCTCGCGCCATTGCAGATCGCCGTAATATCTTCGGATTTCGCATAGTCACCGGACCGACCGCTTCATCAAAACTCTGCATATTAATATAAACCGTATTGAATTCATAAATTTATGTTTCGTATAAATTCTTTTTCTTCCTGTGCATTATCGTGTCCTCTAAATTATCATAAAACGCGAGTTCTTCTCTTTCAAGGATTATTAATATTTTTGATACTTTCCGAAAAGATCGAATTTAAATAACGAGTTTCTTCTAATTTTTTTTCTTAAGTTCTTTTAAACTGCATTTATTTGTAGGGTTTTTTTTTCTTAATATCACATCATTAAAAGAACAATTTTAAGTAAGCGAGCGATCAAAAAGAAAACTAATCGAATGGAAGTTAATAAAAAGTTTTCAGGATACAAATCGCAAGTACGATTGAGAGGAACTCTTGATCTTCTCCCCCCCAGGTACATCCGGTTGACTCTCCGACGAAGAACGTGGACGGTATCCGATTGCACGAGGGCAGCTACAGCGCGACAGTGACCACGTCGTCCGGCACTTCCGGCGGTACTGCCGGAAGTGTGAGCCTCTCTTCGCCGGAGAGCGCGTACTCGACCGGCTATTCGACCGACGGAACCTCTCCCGGCACCAGTTTCCCGCCCGAGTACTACATCAACATCAGGACCGGCACACACTACTTCCAGAGCAGTGGCGGTAGCGGTACCACTGCCGCCAGCAATAATAACAACAACAATAACGGCAACAAGGCCAGGATAAAGAGGCCACAAGGCGACACGGCGGATCTACCCCCGGCCGGCAGCGCCGTACCAGGAAATGGAAGAGCCGAAGACAGGGGACAGCCATCCGCGAGTACGACGAACATGACTAGAGACAACGCTCCACCGGAAGTACGAACCAGTACGCCGCACAAGGTGAGCGCAGTGTTTCGTAAATTGTCGGAATTGACAACGGTTTGCCTCCAGAAACTACCAAACGTGCATTCCCTTCTAAAGGAATGCATTAATGGGAGGAGCTGTATATAAATTTAGTTATAATAATTTTTTCTCATATTCATTTACTTGTAAACTTTATAAAAGAAATTGATTAAAATTATATCTTTATTTTTACAATTATTACAATTATTAGAGAAAATGTTGTGGCCGTTTCATCGATTACTTTTAATAATATGTTTTTATCATTTTTCTTAAAATCAAGAAATTTAAAAAATTTTTAATAACATAAATTATTTGTATTATTTCATTTGATTGTCAAATATGATCTATGTTTCAACATTTATTATCAAATGCATTAATTTAATAGTGATACAACATTTTTGAACGACAAGATTTGTCAAATTATTACAAAAATGGAGAACTATCCCTTTTCATAGCTACGCGACGGTTTTCCTAAGCAAAATTCCAGTTCGGATCTCAACCAAGGAATACGAGAAGCGTGCACTATCGCGAAGTTCCGAGATGTAACGTATTCACAAGAGTAGAGCGACGTGGCTCTTCCGTCAAACGCGTCGCATTCCTTTCAGCCCTCCGTCTCAAATAGTTTATAGGTCGAAAGTAAATGCGCGTCTCGAAGTCTGCGAGATTACCTACCTACCTACCGTTCAGCTTCGCTGAAACACACCCCCGGGGGCGCTTGTTCGCTGCGGGGTCTTTGAAGACGCGAGTTCAACGACACCCGGCCTCTTTCGCCGGAGCAGGAAGTATACATTCTGGAAGTAGCGTTTATCGTCGCGGTACGTATCACGAGGAGGAAAAGAATAAGAAAGAGGAAGGGAGACCAGGAATTCACGAATTCCTCTCGGTGAATCCCGTGGAAGCTCCGGAGTTGAGAGACGGGTGGTTGCACGATGACCCATTCCCTTTACGGCGCACGTACCGCTATTTGTCGCGAAAAATATTTATTATTTAACAACGTTGCACTCTTTCTGAAGCACGAAGCGCGAAGGTAAAAAAAAACCTGGAAATGTTATTTTGCTCCTTCACGCTCCGCTCTACCTCGAGATTCGCGAGGCGCGACGAGTCGCGTGAGTCGAGAGGGAAGGAGAGAGAAAGAGGGATGGATTATTGTCACGAGACGCGCACCAGGATATTGGGCGTTAATGGGCGGCAGGAGTGAAAAATGAATCCTTCCTCGTCGAGGCCCGTGATCGATTGCGCGTCGCGCACTCGTCGTTTCGGCACAATGGAGAGGAACGATCGAGTTTGCGATTTGGGTTAACGATAAGGACGAAAATACGGGAGCAATGTGGCGTGCACAAAAGCGTTTTAAAAGATTTTGAAAGAGCTGGATGAATGAATGGGCGAATTAATTTTTGTATGTGTTTTTTAACGGCGCAATAAAGAAGAAATCTCGAGAGACATGTTTACAACAGCAAAGATTAATTAATTAATTAATTAAGTTTGCGTAACAGAGAAAGTTCTGCAGTTTTGTCCTTTAATGTTAAGTGAAAATGAAAATGAAAATAAATAGCTATCGATATTTCTTTTATAAGAATCGCTACTTTCGCTCTCTTGATTTTGTTAAGTGGAATGTTAATTTTAAATAATAAAGTAATTTTAAATAATCTAATCTATTATCTTCCGCCTTTTTTTTATATCATTACGATAGTCACCGTGGATAAAAATAGAAGGTTTAATCAACTGCATTAGTCGGCAAAATCGAAATATAAGAATAGTCTCAGTGTCTGTAACATGTATTTCTTATTCGACAGAGTGCAGAGACGCCGACGAATCATGGTCAGAGACAGCACCAGCAGCAGCAAAGGCAGCAGGAGAATTCTCATCGCAGGACGGAGTCCTATTCCGCTGACTCGACGAGGAACAGTTTACCAGTACCGTCGTCAATACCACCCCCGTTGATCTCACCTCCGGTACAGTCACCCCGCGAACGCTCCCGCATCCGGACGAATCCTTGGCTGTCGGCGAACTCCTCCGGTTCCAGCACGAATGGTCTGAAATCGCGTCTCGCCCTGGATGAGAGCAGCAGTAGCTCCGGCCTGAAGCTCACGGAATCCTCCGGCAGTGCCAGCGACGTCAATCTGAACGGCAGGGAGCCCCATGGCAGGAGAGGAGAGCATCGCCAGGAGAGCCTCAGCGCGGGTCGAAGCCCGTAAGTATACTTTTTTTATAATTTTTTTAACGTACGATTTACAATTTATTTTAGAGAAAGATTTAATTGAAATTAAGTATCGATAGAATTAGATGATTGTTGCGACGATTAATTGGATGTCTGATCAGATTGGAAGATTGACTGAAAATAAATAAACAAAAATTAAAAATGAAGCTGTGGATAAAAGTAGAAAAAAGAATATTTAAGGTAAAACTTTAATAGTATTTCTGTAGCCATGTCGGTGCTCTTGGAACTAATCCAATTCCTTATAGAAGAAACTTCTAATTACGTAAGTTGTTGGCGTAAGACGTATCCTTTTTTTTTTAAAAAAAACTCGTCTTTTCTTTTCTCTAAATCCTTAGATTTTTCCAGTCTTCGGTCTGGAATTGATCAAAGCGAAAATCGGTTAAAGGAGAAGCCAACAGTTAGAAAAGTTTGCGAAGTAGAAAAGACTCGTGAAATTACACGCTTTATTGCGCTTTAGATCGTCACGATTGCGAGAACAGGCCTTTGCGTTTTACGCCAGATTTAATTTTTAATTCGCAATTACAAGTTGATTACACGTGATGTCATCCGTATCGACCGTAATTTCTTTTGCAACACAATTATCATTAGTTTGCAAATTGCATAAATTACCTTCCAAGTTGCGCGTATATTTTATGCTAAGTGTACACTTATAACAATGTTTTAGCAACTCGAAATTTTAATTTATTGATGACAGTATCACAAGCCGTGTTGTTTCATAAATTCACTTTTACACGATTAAAGCATTTATAGAAAAGGCTAAATTAAGGATTAAATTGAATTAAAAATAAAATGAAAAGGAAAAGATTAATTAAAATATATAGGAAATATATAGGAAATATATAGGAAATATATAGGAAAAGATTAATTAAAATTTTTTTTATATCATGTTTATTCTACATTTTTGTATTCATCTTTTTTTTTTCGACTTATTTTCTTTTGCTTGGACTTAATTGACATACTTTAAATCAGTCTTTAATCGATATTTGCGTATCTAAAATTTACAGCTAAAGTTTTATCATTTATCTCGCGCAGGATTAATCAAAACTGGAGGATTACATCGGGCATGGATCTACGACCCAAGATTTCTTTGGCTCTGCAACGACGAGCCAGCAGCAGCAGCTCGTCGGCATCCTCAGTGACGCGTAGTGTGCGCTCGTCCGAGGATGACATCACGCTGAACGAGATGATGGGCAAATTCGACGAAAGCTACGTATATGAGAAGGAGACAGACATCTTGTCGGATAGTGACCCGACTGACTGTGAGGACTATATCGATTCGCTATCGGACATCGACACCGGCCAAGACGGCGGTGACGAGAACGATCCGTTCGAGAATGACGAGCTTGACTACATCGACAACGGTTCATTCCTAGATCTGGTCGATTTGGACTGCGGTGATGCCGACCATTTTCCTAATACCGGCCACTGTACCTATTTTGCCTTTACCAGCGAACTAAGCCGACGAGGTACCAGGCTCCGCGAATCCTTCCTCAAACGCAGAACCAAGGACGAGATCATCTCTCAAAGGTAAAGGTTTTTCCCGTCAAGATCTTGTGTTTTAGTACTTTTTATATTTGCCAAACAATATTTTTAAATTACATTGTTTCATACACCGCTCTTAGAAACGCGAACGCGAGGGCTAGCGCAAAGAGACAGAGCACGCGGCACAGGAAGATGGATGATAAGCAGAGTGAGAAGCGCAAAAAGAGGATATCGCAGCGTCGCAAGGCTACTTTAGACCGATGCGACGATGAGACGGCAAATCTGAACCGTGTGCTGGTCGAAAGAATGCTGCTGAAGAACTCGGGATTTAATCAGGGCAGCAGAAGCGTAGGCGGCACGCCGATGTGTCTGCGACGCAGGAAGCACGACGTGAACAAGAATCTCTCGCCGATGAGACTCAATGACAACCCATCGACCGTCAGACCTACCGCAATGGAGAACGAAATCGTGAAGAGACGATCAAACTCGGTGAGGTCCAAATCTAATAATCTCATATTTTAAACTGAAGAACAATCAATTTATCATTCTTTTTTTTTATTCTTTTTATCCTCAGATTATAGAATTAATTATACAAGCTAATTAGTTAATAAGAGTTTAAATTATATTGTTTTGTTTCTTTTCAAGGTAAGTTACGTGAACGGCAACCTAGTGCGACGTCATGTAACCGGCAACACGTACATGACTACATTTGCCTCGGAGATCGCGTTAATCGAGGCGGACAAGGAAGCCGATCGCAAATATCGTGAGCTTATCCTAGAGGCGGAGAACATTTTGGTGAGCATGCAAAAGTACCAGAATCCTTCGCCGTGCGTGCCGTCGCCGTCGCGCAAGCTGCATAACGGTTTGGCGAACAAGCGCGTCGAATTAATCAAGAACACGGAGCTGAATATCGAGCTAGCATTGTCGAAGAGTCGCAATTCCCAGCCGGAATTACAGAGCGGCAGTATCCGGGATTTGGAACATACCAGTCCCAAGCGGCAGTTCCCTCAGCCATGTTCACCAATTCATCGATTTATGGAGAGAAACTCACCGGCTAATTTCATACCGAAGGAGCCTCCGCCCGTCTTCCGGCAGTATGAGCTATCTAAATGTCCGGATTCACCGGTGATGGTACGCAGAACGACGCCCCAAAGCTCGCCCAGCAGGAATCTAATGCATCACCAGATGCATCGGGCACGTAACGGCGATTCGGAAAACAAAGAAGGCAATAGATCGCCACGGATCGCTTTAAGCTGCAATGGACTGAAGCCAGAAGTGGTGAACGTAAATAACTCTTTCGGGGAAAAAATGCACGCGAACGCAACGTCACAGGGTCCTCTCGTCGCAGGTAGAAAGGAATTTCGTGCCACGAGAGAATCGACAAAGGAAGAAGGAGTGACGTCCAGCTCGTCGGATTCCGAGGAGAAATGCGACGTAAGACGGAGGGCTCCATTAATGACTTTCAGGTTGATAAATACTTGGTGAAATTTTAAACAATTTCCATGTACTTTAGTGGAAGTTTGATTTCTTTATATTAAAAATTATTTATATTTATGTTGTAATATTTTATAAAAAAGAAACAATATATATAATAAATTCTTAGATCAAAGCGCATCTTGCGTTTCATGTTAATGGTAATTGAATACCATATGTTATAACATAATGTCAACATTGTTGACATAATGTATAAATATTGAATATTTATAATAGAAAAATATTTTTAGATCAGTCGACATGGGTCCCATCAAGGAAGGTTCTTCCTACTGCCCACAAAGCGAACCAGTGAAAAGAAAAGTCTATGCCGGAAGCGCGACATATGGCAGAATACAAAAGACTTTGGGCGAACATGTTATGCTGAGAAATTCTGATGGCGATACAGCAACCGACGATACTGGTACGTGTTTTATATCACTCTTATGAACACACGAAGAATTTTTTTTATAATATCGATCAATGATATATAAAAATATATAAATATATACAAATTTTAATTTTAATAATAGACAAAATATTTTAAATATGTAAAATATTTTATTTAAATTTACATATAATTTTAAAATTTTGCAATGGCTAATCCTATGAATTGTTAATCGATGAATTTAAAATTAAAAATAATATTTAAAATTGATATATATATATATATATATATATAACATTTTTAAAAATTCCGTTTTAGTCTCGTTAATTATTTTATTCTAATTTTAATAGATTCTACATATTGGGTTATTTACATTTGTTAATATAATATTACTTTATGATATAGATGATTCAAGGAGATCTTTGAAGGAGAAGGTAGCGCAACTTCGGCAGGAGCGACTGGCCGCGGAGGCAAACGCGAACAACGTTCACGACTCGCAGTACTTCCAGCATCAGCTATCCCAATTACGACGGCAGATGCTGATGCAGACGATTGAGGGTCTGAAGCGTAGCCTCGAGGATCAATCGGCCACCCTGAAGCAAACTTGTCTAGAGCCGACGAGTCTATTGACCGACGAGCTGCCTTGAATTTAATCGGTCGACTATTCTTTCCGGTCTATTGTGCCGCGCGATCACGATCAACGTGTTTACGATATCGCTCTGTTCCTCGCGAGGAGAATAGGCCCACCGGACGGACAGGATCGAAGTCCTGTTACGAATCCTATCCTCGGCGGATCCGCGATTGGTCGAGACGTCGCGCGCCGCGAGAAGTATTGATTAAACGTGGCGTTTACTCCATGCGCGAATTACGATGACGTGATCCTTTTCGGACTCGATGATACCGTGGTCAGTTGAATGTGTAGGCGCACATCAAATCTCTATTTTTCTGTCCGTGATATGAGAGAGTGAGAGAAAAGAAGAGAGAAAGAGAAGAAAAAGTCGAAATTGAGTGTCGCGTATCCTGGCTGGGCATTGTTTCGCTCTATTGTTCGTTTCGCATGTTCACTAATGAACATTTCTCACAAACTTTCCTTTTGTCTTTTTTAATTTGCAATTTCGCGCAAGTAGGCCGACTTTTATTTGCCGCTTTAGATTAGCTTTTTCACTAGCTCTTCTTAGACTCTCATCGTTCGATCTATCGTTGCAGTGCTCGCTCCAAAATTTCTGTCCAAAATAACGGCAGGCGAGAAGTTCTTACAGATCTTCGAGTTATATTAGATTGATCCTGGAACGCTAACGCGAAATTATTAATAACTAATATATTACCATTATATAGAATAATTAATATTATCATCGCTAGATTAGCACTACTATACTTAACATTTTTTCAAATATATAATACGAAACATACTATCGATCATTAGTATATTATTACAAAATTCGCAATAGGAAACAAGAAAGGAGGAAGATAGTATGCATTAGTTTGAGATTGTACTAGCTCTTGACAGTCGCTGTTAGCGTTCTAGGATTAAGCTTAGACTACTTAACATCTAACGGGCCTATTCACGGGTATTTATCTCTGACATGCTTTAGAGAAAACAAGGAAACATAGCGGAAAATCGTAGGAAGAAACGTCAAAAGTAAGTCATGCGAACGAGTAAGATGATAGTATCAAAAAGCATAGATATTTAGTATATATCCATCTAACGGAGTTAGAAAATCACGGATTTAGCAGATAGGCGATTCAAAACATATATAATCGAATTTAGATATTAGAAAGACATTAAACGTGCCCAATGAATACGGCCCAGTTTTGATCGAGATGGTCGGGGAAGGATAACGCTGATTAATATAGTGACGCTGGGATTTCATTGACTGTTTGAGCCTCATCGAGACAAATAAAACCCCCTATAAGCTCCTTAAGCAAAATGTATGTCTAATCACTTCTACAATGGATATAACTGGAAATTTTTATAAGTATTTCGTAAAGATAAAAAGTTGAGGCCCAAAAGGTTGAGTCGATTAAACCGACACAGACAAGCTGTATATGAAAAAGCGAATGAAACGTGTATCGAACGCAGATTATAATGAAAAAATTTAATATGAAATGAAGGAACGAGTCAAAACTTTCCTTCCCCAGCGCTCTCGATAGCTTCCAACTTGATCTGTTGCAAAATATAATGTTTATGGCATGTGCACCCTTTTCACTTCGAACTGAATTGAACGTGATGCAAGAGACAATTGTAAAACGAGACTTTCAGCTTCCAATAGAAAAAGTTACGTCTTGCTCCCGTCGTTCACAATCACGTTCGATTCTTCATTCGCAAGCACCACTTATTTTTCACACAGAGAACAAAGGCTATTGATAGTCGATTTCTCGCCGTGAGACATAATGGGGGAGTCATAATCAGCTAGCTTACACATATTACTCATAATGTTCCTATTTCTATGCGATTATTCGTATCCTCGGAAGCGAGATTTTTCCCCCATAAACTATCATCTCTGTTTCTGGATAAAGTAAGCATCCCCCAGATTAGTATACCAAAGACGATAGCTTAGTTAGACAGTAGATTAGAGCCTTTTAACCAATCAGAAAACACACAGCGATTGCATATTCGTAATATTAGAGGATCATGGTTAAAAGCGAATTTTTAGAATCTCGATTTGCTATTAGAATAATTGTTCAAGTTACGTCAAGCGGATTACAAATCTTCCATATGAGCCAGAGTCAAATATTTCATTCCAGCGTTTGCAAAAAATTTATGTAGCTCCGTGTTGTACCTTTTCTAAGTTAGATTTTTAAGCGATTTAAAAGACAGTTGATCTATTTTGAAAAGAGTTTATTTGTTTCAAAGATATTCGAAAGATTTGTGTTTTTATTTATGGAATTTTGATCGCTTCGTGGTATCGGGGACTCTGGTTGTATTGTCGACACGGTATTTTCGGTCATAGTGATATTTTTGTGAGAATAGACTGATAGCGTTATCGATTGTTAGATTAAAAACTTTTAGTGGTTACTTACATGTGATTCATACGTTAAAGATTCTCCGAGAACGGCGGATTGTAATACGCACGCGATATATTTATTTGTGTTAGATATTAGGAAGCATAGTAAACGAAAGCATTAGACAAATATAGCGTAGCGTTAGTGCATTAGGCAATCGTCAAGTAAACGAAGTCATAGTTGTTTTTCCTCTCTCTGTTTCTTTCGAATCGCGTTTGTGATTTAATTGTCATATACGTCTCTATGGTTTCTTTATTACGGGATCGTGATTTCCGTTTGTAGCTTATTGCGGAGACAGACTGTGCGAGAGTCACTTCGATCGTAATCGAAAAGAAGTCTTTGCGCGGTACGTCGAGTATCATTAAGTGGACGAGTTGTTCGAGAGTTTTATACGTGAGAAAGAAAAAAAAGATGATACTGTATATAAGATAATTTTTTAACCGAGGAATATTTTAATTTTTATAATCGTAAGACGGATTAGTCGTTGTCATAAGTTCGATGATTTTTGTGCGACATTCGCGTTGACATTCCAAGAATGCAGTTTGCATTGGCGAGATGGGAGAGAGGCACTTGTCCGGATTGATTCGCGAATCGGTAAACCGCACGGTTTCCCCGAACATCGCCCTTGCCGCAAAGCGACACTAGTCACTCGATTATTTACGCAGGGTATATATCGGCAATTCCGAACGTGCTTGGAGATAAAGTGGAATTATTGTTGCAAACGACATCTCTTGTGTACCAAGCCATTTATAAAAAAATAAAATGGTTTTTTTATATGATTATGAATAAATTATATTATGTCGTTGGATTGGGATTACTTTTACTCTTTTACTGCCTTGACAAGAAGAACATAGAAGATACATTATCAAAGTAACATACTTTTATATAAAGAAGATATATTACACGTTATAAAGACTGTATTTCAAAGTATAATATTATAAGCTGTGCTTGTTTATACGAAACAGGATGAATAACTCTTATCGAACAAACATATTTAACTATGTTCTTAAATTTATAAATATGAATAGGACGACTTCTTACAAGACTAATTATAAGAATTACTATTATCCATTATATGATTAACCGAATTTGAACTCTCCTTTTAACAAACTGAAATAGAGGTCTATCTATAGAATCTATAGATATAAATTGTATTCTATAGATATAAATTGTACTTAGTCAAAAGACGAATGCAATTCATTGAAAAAATCTATTTTAGATGATTTTTTTCATATCTTGTTATGAAATTATATATATTAACAATCTATGCATAGAAAGTGATATAAAGAAGCGTCAAGATTGCAATTGTAATCTTTACATATGTACAACTAACAAATATATCACTGTTGTGGTTCATTAACCGGTAAGAAAATAATTTATCATAAAAATTTCAATAATTGAAATGCCTCTTCTAAACATGAATTTACTTGACTTTCTTAAAATTATGCTGGATTTCGAATATAGAGACAGGTTCAAAAATTTTGTCACAAAAATCTTCCCATTCACCTTCGGTCAAATCTACAGCATCAAATTTGCTACCTTCATTCACAGTTTGAATCGTCCATCCTTCCCTTGCCGAGAAATCAATGGGCTCTATACCACGGCAATCAAATGTGACCATTGGCTTGTATTGATCCTGATCTTTCGCAGTGTAAGACTTGATCGAATCCTCAATTATCATTACAGAGTTCTCCCGGGAACAGAGCTTGCACTTGCTCACGAAATGATTGACTCCGCTGCCACGTTGCATCGGTATTTCCTCATCCAAAGAAAGATAGTTCCATGTATCTGACTTTTCAGAACAGTTAGTACAAACAAATTTGAGGCACCATTGAAAATCGCGCCCCTCGGGCCTCACTTCCTTGACGTTGTTCATTTTGAACAAGATGCATAAAGCTATCTTTACCATTTTTCGTCCTAAATGCAGAAAAAGAAAAATAATTGTTAGTTTTGGAATGCATATGCATATTTGATCTCCTTACTTACAAAATGTTTCGTCGCGTATGTTCAAAATGCCAGATTCATATGAGTTTATAGATTAATCCACATACGAATTTCTTCTTTTTCACAGTTCCACAGATAGATTCACTAGGATAGAGTCAGGATACTATAATCATTTCAATTAAATCGTGAGATCCTGAGGTCTTCTTTCTGAAAAGATTCCTCTGAGAATAATAATAATAAATATTAACCCGAATATCCGATTTTATTTTGCCAGGCAACCTTTTACTTTTTACTTTTTACCTTCAATCTATTTTTTAGATCATATTAATACAGAATTTTTTTTACCTTTTCAATTTTTTCTTCTTCAATCAACTTTTTCTTCGGCTCGTAGTCCGAGTCTTCGAATTCTAGAACTTTTCATAAGCTTCCAGGAAAAGCCTTTAAAATTACGAGATTTTAAATCGTAAATATATGGAATGAGAGAGTCAGATTTGAATCCACTAATTATTGTTGATTACCAATCAACAATATCAGAACGATTGTACTTGTATCGTGCCCGATTACCCAGAGCAAGAAGTGCAAGAAGTACCGGACGAACCGCGCATGCGTGCCACGATCTTGTGGCGCCGGCGGCGCCGTGACGAGTGACGGATGACTGACAGAATTCGTCTCGATTCCCGGACGAGTGATAGGCGACAAGTGGTATGAATTCGACTTGGCAGCATCTCGTGGTTCTTGCCTGTCTGGCAGTTTTGGTCGCGACTTCTGTCGCTCAGGATATCCTGGGATGCGGCGGCTTCCTGAAGAGCCATGCTGACATCGATTTCACGAAGGTGCACGTTAGACTGTGAGTGTCTTCTTTTGGATGAGAGGTTAATTCTCAGATACCTAGTTTCATGTGTTGTTTTATCGAATTTCATGAGATAAATTTATTAGATACACGAAAACCGGCAGCTTAAAGGATCAGACCGAATGCGCGCCTAACACTGGTTACTACTTCCTTCCTTTATATGACAAGGGTGAATATGTGTTGAAGGTAAGTTGGAAAGGTGCAACATCATCGCCACTAATTAAATAATATACTCATGTTCATTTCTGTCAGTATAGATTAACTTTATTCTTGGTTTAACTTATTCTTTTTTTATTTTTAAAAATTAGAAAAACATGAAGTAAATTAAAGTTAATCTATATTCGTGAAACGGATATCCAATATGTACAAAATTTGTTTATTCTAAAAGTGAAATGTGAATGCATAAATTTTCTTTCAAAAGCCTGCCTTATATAAAAGAAAGATAAGCTTGTCATCTGTCATTAATAATGAACCAAGTTTGTAAAATGAAAAGACTTAAAAGTATTAAAAATCTTGCTTTATTGAATAATATCCCATTTCTCTGATTGAACATAGTTTTAGTTTATATGTTCATTGTAAAATCATTATTAACTTTTATTATAGATTATTAAAATATTATAAATAATATTATATATTACAAATTATCTATGTTTTAATAATCTAGGTTGATCCACCCAGAGGCTGGAGTTTTGAGCCTATAGAAGTGTCGCTGAATGTAGATGGTATTACGGATGACTGCAGTCAGGGAAAAGATATTAACTTTACCTTTAAAGGATTTGGAATCACAGGACGTGTAAGTAATAAATTTTTTTCTCTAATATGAAAATTTTTATTGAAAGATGAATATCTTCTTTTTAATATTAATAATTTATAACATTATATATATATATATATATATATATATATATATATGT